AAAAAAAAAAAAATACATTTTTTTAGGGAACGAGTATGAAAACCCCTGAGCATACATATAGGATGGCACCCAGGCTACGGTGTAACTGCAGGGAATGCACGGTCAAGTAAAAATACTGCAAATACCTTTCGTTGATGCATAGTACTGCTATGACTATTCTCCTGTGATTTTTCAAGCCATCTTCGAATGGAGTGACATAAACCAAAAGAATCCCTGATACTTGAAGGGGATGCTGGTACAGTTACTGTCTTTCGAAGATGATTGTGCTGTGCTGTGACCCATATTTGACCAACATTATGTTTCCTTATTTCCTCTCAGGACAAGTGTGACTTCTCCTTGACTGTTGAAGAACTGCCGGTCCCTCCCGTCTTTAAGAAAACACCCAAGGATGAGACAGTGGAGGAAGGAAAATGGGTCAAATTTGTCTGTGAGGTTGATGGAGCACCTGCACCGGAAGGTGAGGACAAAAATCAATGACATGTATTTTCATAGATTGTCACATAAAGTGATTGAGTTTTTTAAACTTTTTCCCAGGATGATATACACTCTAGATCCTGTGAAGGACCCGCTCCATTGATTGACTCCTGACCAGTATTGTCTTTCATTTTCCAAGTCTTGAACTTCTAGTAAAAAGTTGAACTTCATTCCAGCAGAAAGATTACACAGAGATCAAATTTTCAACGACTGCAATTGCCTTCATCAGGATAATGAATGACCAATCACTTCAAAACATGATCTCGCGAGAGTTACGGTTACAGACACATGACCTTATTCATGTTTACATGATGTAAGCAATTAACTTGAGAGAGACGGTGGACAATATAAACTCCCTGGCACTTTTGATCAAGTCTTGTCTTTGTCATCATTTTCTACCCTTTGATGATCATCTTCATCTTTGTCTTTCCATCTCTCCATCAATGTTTTCATCCCTGTTCCCATCTCTCTATGTTCATCTTCATCCCTGCACCCATCCCCCCCCAGCCCAATGGTACCGAGGAGACCACCTCATCACCACCACCGGTCTCTGTCGCGTCCGTTCCTCCTCCTTCACTCCTCTACTTGAGATCTATTCGGTTCGCGTCGAGGACGCAGGAAACTACAAATGTATCGTGAAAAACGACGGCGGAGAGATCTCGTGCAATTTCAAACTCGGCGTGACCGCCAAGCCGACGTCCCCGCGAATCACAAGGAAGCCGGCTTCGCAGACCGTCAAGGAGGACCAGAAAGCCACGTTTACCTGTAAAGTGACAGGGTACCCCCGCCCGGAAGGTAATCACTGGTTTCCATGGAGACTGTTGCCATGGCAAGTCTGCAACATCCAACCAATGATCAAGCGCTTTTTTTTTCAAAATATAGGGCATCAAACTGAATCTCTCAGGAGGCGAGGCAGATAACAGGATTGAGAAAGCCCAAAATTTTAAGAACTCTGTGCTGTAGGAAATACTATATCCTACTTCAAAAGTTGGATTTTTGGATCATTGCATACAGAACCAAATTTCGTCATTATTACATAAGATTTTCAGTACATAACACATTAAAACTGACAATGATTTGTCACACGAAGTTTTCCAAACATGGCAAGCTCACTATTAAAACATTTGGAAAACAATTGCACATTGTCAATTAAATCTAAACATAGTATGTAATTACCACATGAATTTAGCTAGCAATTATCAAGTGCTTTTTCAAAATCTATTACACATGTATAGGGTATCAAACTGGATTTCTTCGGAGCCTTACAATGGGCTTGAGAAAGCTTAAAATTTTAAGAATTCTATTCTATGTACTTCAAAAGTTGCCTTTTTTGTATCATTGCAGCTCTCTTACTAAGAGCCTGAAATGTTTATGAGGAACTTGCAGACTTGAGAATGGTACAAGTTTCAGAAAAACAACCCAGGAAACCAGGGAATACTTTCATCAACATTGTTCTCAGAGCTAACAAACTTATGTTTTAGTTTGCTCACCCAGGATCACAACAACTACTGAAGAACAGTCTAAACATGCCTAAACATGGTTTTCTCTTTTTACAGACTAGACTTCTCTTCACTGCATGACTGACAATAAATGTAACTATGATAGTTTATACTTTGCTAGGGAGAAAAAAAACTTACATGGGATCAAGAGATGATCCCTTTTATTGTTTACTAATTAAAAGTAACTTTGAATTCAATACTCCTAATGCTGCATAACTACATGTATAGTTAAGATACTAAACGATGTTTTTTTTCTTCTTACCTAGGAAATAACAGCTCCAAATGATCTTACTGTTGATATAATTTATGACATGATTGTTGAAAATTGTTATAATTTTTTTCTTTAGTCACCTGGTCCAAGGACGGCCGAACTATCCAAGAGGATGAACGTCACAGCATGGCAGCTGACGGGCAAACCCACACCCTGGAGATTCTGTCCGCAGGTACGAAAATAAAACAACTTCTGATGAGTTTCATTCGTAGTTTGGTCAGATTGGTAGAGTGTTGACAAATACAATGTACCATGTATATACGTCGATGAAGGTTAGACATCCAGTCACTTTAGGTTAGACATTCAGTCACTGACGAAAGCTAGTGGATACTAGCTGAAACGTCTGACGTTTTCAAAATCATATCCAGTTGCTTGAGTAACTGTTTTTTGGCGTACCATGTATATAGCACAACCAAGAGACCTTCAATTGCTGTGTGTTTTGACATCTTGTCAACTTCAATAACTGACACTGATTTCCTAAACTGCTATAACTGTATCTGTTGGTTAATTCTCTCTGCTTTTTTATTGGCTGTTAGGCCACACCAATTTAATGTCTTGGTTAACGAATTCGCCTGCTTCATTTTTTTCTGATTTGCAAATAAAAATAAAAATTCAGAATCAACTGCAAAATGCTCATATTTTGCCCGGAACAGTTAAAAACAGTCCTTTTCATCCTAATTGTTACAGTTATTCCATCTTTCAATGCAATGGTATCATTAAAAGTTCAAAATTCATTGTTTAAATTTTGAACCAGCCTGGTGTGTTGACTTCATGGCTCCTATCGTACCATTTTGGGCCATAATACGATGCCTAGGCCTGTTTTATTTTTATTTTTTCGCCCGTCTGCTCCATTATTTTTCTAGAAAAATCCGTTAACCAAGAAATTAA